GAGCTCAAGGGACCAGGGCAATCACAGGGGGGTCATAGTATTCACACAGTTTACACAGTGACTGATGGACCAGCACTTGATCCTGGTGCTTTGTGGCACCATCTAAGAAGCCAGGGCTATTTCATGCTTTAGGAACTTGCCACATGAATGTGGCAAAGCACCCAAAGGGGTCAGGTGAGACTCCGTGAAAGCTTGGGCCATGCATGGAACTGTCCCTGGGGCAAATGTCACAGGGGAAGCATCCCCTTCTTCTGCCAAAGACCTCCCCACATTCCCCAGGCTCACAGCAGGGAACCAGCTCTGAGACCTTGTGCTGCGGCCCAGGTCTTAGAGCACTCAGTGCGGTTGGGAGCAGTGGAGGACTATTCTTACCAAAACTTCAGAGACCTCCCACTGGGTTCCCAAATCAACCCACTATTGCCCTATTTTCCCCTTAAGGGGACCCACCACTGCATGGCCTGAGGGGACACAGGCAGCAGAGCTCTCTGATCTCCCTGCTGCAATCATGTTGCCATGCAGACCACAAACTCCACCACACATGCTCCGATGCTTCACTCCTTTGCGCACGTGCTGTTGCCTGAAGGTCTCAGGGAGACCTTTATTGCCCACACCTACAGCAAGAACCTCTTACTCACTGGTGAACCACAGACTGGACTCAGGGCAGGCTCAGGGGCTGCTTCGACACTGCCTTCAGCAGCACCTACTATGCCCCCAGGCAGGCAGAGAGCCCAAAACCTCCTGTGCACACACAGTCTGGCCTCCCCTGCTCAGGAACGGCAGAGCAGGGCAGCCAGGAGAGCTCCTGATGCCTCCCTTACCGATGCACACCACATTTGACCGAATGCGGATCCAGCCACCTCTGCTGTCTTTTCCAAGCCAAACTTCTCTGTATACAGGTTTCCGATCTCTGATGGACTGTACTTCCCTTGCACACTTGATGTGGGTGAAGGAGGGCTGGAAACCATCAGAGCAGCTCAGTGTCACTTCATCATTCTTCTTGTAATTCTCCTGGTCTGGTGTCAGCCGGAGTCTTAGGTCCCACTGGGGCCTTTGGCACGTTTCTGGCAGAGGTGAAAGTGGATGTTAGTTGGGGTGGAGGGTGATGAGGTGGGGCATGGTTAGGTGGTAGGAGGGAAGTCCTCAGTAATTCCTCCAGCCCCTGAAGGGAGATGGAAGGGGACACATCCATGTGGCAGTATGTGACCCACAGGCAAGGCTTCCTTTTAGGGACCTCTCCTTCTGTACCCAAAGCATACAATACTACTCATCCATGAACCTCCCCCATCTACTCCTGTGTCTAGGAACACTAAATTCCCTCCTCAGCAGCCCACAGCAGTGAGTTTCCCAAGACCCTGCACTAGGAGGAACACTCCAGCCACTCATTCAAACACGTCACCCACCCCAGCTCAGGCTGCCCTTGATGGGCCATGGCACCACCAACCCTGCTGGGATGTGTGTCTCTCCAGCTATGGTTCATCCCTCCTCTGTCCCAGTTCTGTGCTGGCTCAGTCAGTCCCTTGACCACTCTCCTCCTGCTGCACTCCACTGTACAGTGGGACACATGGATAAGCAATGCCTTCTCCATTCACATCCCCTGTTTTACCACAGCCCTTGCCCCTTTTTCCTACTACAAGCCCTGCTTCCTCCTCCAAATCCTCTCCCCACCACATTCACCGTACTCTGGCCTGAGCAGGCACTGCATGTCCCAGCCATTTGCTGTGTACTTTGCAGGGGAGGCTTTGTGGCAAAAATTCCTACAGGAGGTATGCTGGCACCGGGGAAGGAGGTGTTCCCTGTTCCAGCCTCTCCAAGGGGCCCTGGGTGGCCTCAAAGTGCTTATAATACAATCTTCCTTCTCCCAAAGGGGCAGAGAAGGGATCTCACAAGATTCAGACCATCTTCTGAACAGCCATGAAGAAGTACAAACATGCTGGTGAACAAGCCACTTTGGGACAAGCTTTGCTCTCAAACAACTCTGATTACAGAGGGAAACAGATGCCCAGCTGAGCACCACAACCAGCAGCTCCCACTGAGGCACAGCAGTGACCTTCCCCACCACAGGCACCCAGCTACTCCACACGCCTAGGCCCATACAGCTGGCAAAGCAGCAGCAAGTTCCCTTTTGCTCTGCTCTCAGCAGGCACAACACACTTGGGGATGGGACGTGCACAGAAAGCGGTCGCCCTGCTCCCTGAAGACCCTTCCCCTGATTCACACATCAGGAAGCCTCATGGTTCATGAGGCCTGCAGCCTCCAGGGAATGACTGGAAACTGGCCCGGTGCAGCGCATGACCTAACCCAACCATCTAGCCCAATCCTATCCTTCCCACAGCAACACCAGTCCAACCACACCACTCTGTAACTCCTGTCCCCTGGGATCAACCAGTGACAGGAGGCAATCCAGCTGGCACAGCCCTCAGGGGTCTGCCTGGGCTACAGCCCAGGGCTGCACGTAATAAAGATGCATATCAAGCAAGCAGGAGGAGCAGCAAAACTTTCTCCTGAGATGAGAGGAGGAACCACTTCTTACCAGTTTCAAAAGGCACTCCTTGGACCTTGGGATCAGGTTCTTCCTGGCCCTGTGCTGCCAGCAGAGATACCAGCACCAGGAGAAAGCTCAGAGCCAGCAATTGCAGGGCCATGCTACAGTGAAGTTCCCAGGCAGGACCAAAATCTCAGCCACACTCGCTGCCTCTGAGCCTGGGCATCTGTAACTGACTGCAGGAACTGCAACCACAGGAAGGAAAGAGACACATGCAGAAATCCTGCAAGATACAGGAGGCTTCCTCTTTGGGGAGGGAACCTCCCATCAGTGTCATACTGCTGCCTTTTGCTGCCTTTTTCCCCAGGGGCATCCTCACACTGGTCCTTAACAGTACTCAACTCAACCCCTGTCACCAGGATCTCAGAGTTTCCTCCCAAAACACTCCTAGTTGCCAGAGTGCATTCAAGAAGCTCTGCTCTTATTTCTGAGGTAATATCCTTGTGTCACTCAATAACACTGCATGGGTGTTTGGGTTGCCATAAGTCACTGCACTTCCCCTCAATGACCACAGGAGATGGAGGACATCTGAGAAAGCACATAAAGAGCACACAAGAAGCAGGGACAAGAATGGGGACATGAACTGCGAGGAGTACCTCAAGGCCTGAAACAGTCCTTGGCCCTTTTGAAAGGCACACTCAACCTGCACCCCATCTTGTCTGTCCCCGCTCCTCCATCCCCAGCTGCCGCCTCCTCCTCCCTCCCTCCCTCAGCCAGGAAACACTCTCCTCTGTCCCCAGGTGTGGAGGCAACCCTGCCCTCCAGTGCTGTCTGAGTGCCTCAGGAAACCCTCAGAGCTACTAAACCATACCCCTGACTTCTCAGCAGCTCCTGCTTTTCTCTTCCTCCAGAACCATGGGCCCAGCTGGGATGTCTCAGATCCCAGAGGGCTGGGTGATCAGACACAGGGCTGCAGAGGAGCAAAGACCATGCTTGTCCCTCAGCTTTGCCTGTGACACATGCACAGGACACACTCCTGCCCAGAACAAACTGGGGAGAGCACCACTGCTCACTGGTTTCCACCACACACTCTGTCCAAAACACACATCAGAGCTGCCCAGCACAGCCGTGAAGGCCTGGGGAGACTGCCAGCCACAGCTCCAGGCCACAGCAGCCCTGCTCACAGCCTCCCCTCAACAAGGAGCTTTTAGCTCATTACCTCACAGGGAACATGACCCCACAAGGGCAATGAGGGGACTAGGCAGGAGCTGTGGAGGGGGGGGCAGCCCCCTCCAAACCACAAGCCTTTATTGGTTGTCCAGACACAGCATGCAGAGGCATGAAGACACCCCAGTCAGGCCAAGCTCCAGCAGAGCCCTGGGTTTGGCTGAATATCAGCAGACAGAGCAGGGAGAGGGGTTGGAAGCATGGACCATCCCTCAGCCTGAGCCCGTGTGAGTCAGGGACTGGGAAATCTGGTGTACGGTTGCTGCTTCTAGAAAAGCAAAACTGAAAGCAAAGCCTAAAAACTGGAACTACAGAAAATCACATTCAAATCAAATGCTTTACAACAGCAGTAAGTGAAAGCTGGGAGGTGAAGGGGGTGAGGGAAGAAAAAGCTCACAACCCTCCTTGGCCTCCTGCTTTCCTCTTGCTCTGCTGAACTGGATGGGACCCCCAGTGCTGGTCATAGCAGTCACAGGAGAGCCCGGGGTCCTGATAGCCATCAGCACAGAGCTGTGTCCATGCCCCCCATCGTCTCACTGCTCTAAATGTCCTCTGTGGTTCTGGCCATGGACCCTCCAGCTTGGTCGCATTTATATTTATTGGTTGTCCAGAGACAGAGCAGGCAGAGTCACAAGGCCAGCAGCCCAGGGTCTGACTGGATATGGGGGCAGGGAATGGGAAGTGAGGCAGCCTCAGAGGTGGCTGAAACACAAACCAATCCTCTTTTTCTGCATATCCCAACCCTGTCCATTCCCCTTTCTCAACCACTAGCAGCCAAACAAAGTTAAGTGCTCTCTTGCCCTTGCTGCCTGATAACCGTCAAGAGCAACTCCATCAGGAATGCAGGTCACACCAACAAGAGCCCATGGGAAGGAGATGCTTTTGTCCCAGGGGCCAATTGCAAGTACCATGATGATTGTCAGACAACTCATATAAAGGACTGTCAAAACATGTATTTACTGGCATAAGAAGGTCATCTCAGACTGGAGATATGGGAATGATGGATGGAGTGTTAGATGGATAACACATTGGCTGGATGATTGCGTCTGAAGAGTTACAGTCAATGGCTCAATGTCCAAGTGGAAACCAGTAATGAGTGGTGTCCCTCAAGGGTCTGTACTGGGACCAATGCCATACTGGAACCACTGCCCATAGGCACTGGGATTGAATGCACCCTGAGTAAGTTTGCAGGTGACACTGAGATTGGTGATGGACTTGAGGAAAGGCATGCCATCCAGAAGGACCTTGACAGCCTTGAGAAGTGGGCCCATGTGAACCTCATGAGGTGCAACAAGGCCAAATGCAAGGTGTTGTGCCTGGGTCATGGCAATCTCCAATATCAATACAGACTGGGGGATAAAGGAATTGAGAGCAGCCCTGCAGACAAGGACTTGGAAGTACTGGTGGATGAGAAATTCGATATGAGCCAACAATGTGTGCTCACAGCCCAGAAAGCTCGTTGTATCCCAGGCTGCCTCAAAAGAAGCATGGCCAGCAGGTCGAGGGAGGTGATTCTACTCCTCCACTCCCTTGGAGAACTGTGTTCTGCCATAGGAACCCCAATTTAAGAAAGACATGGAGCTGTTGGAGTGAGTCCAGAAGAGGGCTATGAATATGATCAGTGGGCTGGAGCACCTTTCCTATGAGTACAGGCTGAGAGTGTAGAGGTTGTTCTGGCTGGAGAACAGAAGGCTCTAGGGAGACCTTACTGTGGTGTTTCAGTAATTAAAGGGGGCTTATAAGAAAGACAGGAGCACACTTTTTAATAGGACCTGTAGCGACAGGACAAGGGGTAATGGATTTAAACTAAAAAAACGTAGATTCGGACTTGGTCCAGGAAATTTTTTACCATGACAGTGATGAGGCACTGGAACAGGTTGCCAAGAAAAGTTGTCAAAGCCCCATCGCTGTGTTCAAATCCAGGCTGGATGTGGTTTTGAGCAGCCTGATCTAGTGAAAGCAGTCCCTGCCCATGGCAGGGGTATAAGGCTACATGACCAGAAAAGACCCCTTAAGAGAGAAACCATTTGATGATCCCAGCCACAGAGCTGGAGAAGAGGGCGGTTCTTTACCCCGTCTCCCAACAGTGCACTCCTCAACAAGGAGACCTTTCAGGCTGACCCTCAGCATCCAGGCTGCACTGGACCCCAGCATCCCACAGTGCGGGACAGGCAGTGGCTGCTGGAGGCTGCACAAAAAGCACCAGCCGAGACTGAGCAGATCCCAAAGGCTGCAGGATGGGCATTTCCCAAGGGGCACAGGGCCAACAGAACCTCAGGAAATGGGACACAAGCACCAGCACCCACAGAGCAGGTCACACACCAACACAGAGGTCCAGCTTGGCCTAGTTGAGCAAAAAAAAAGCTCCTCCATGGAGATCTATAGGGACAGGGCTTTTACACAAAAGACAGGGAAGAACCAAGACAAGGTGGGAGCGGTCATGGGGCAGGCAAACCTGCCTGCAAACCAGAACATTTTATTGCTTTGGACACTGCAGCACAGCTGCAAGGGCAGTGGGGTTGGGCCACATCCAAGCAGAGGCCAAAGTCCAGGGGGATTTAGAGAGACAGAGCTGGGAAAGAGGGGCTGGGACCTACCAGCTTCTTTGGTCTCAGAGAACAGTTGAAGGCACCAGGACGTGGGTGAGACGGCTCTGCCAGAGCACTGGAGGGCTATCAGAACATGTCCATGCTGGCAGGAGCAGGTCATCCCAGGCTTTGAGCTGCTCATGCTCTGCGACAGAGGATGCTGTCACTTGATGAAGGAGGGAAACTGAGAGAGAGCATTAACTCAGCACAACCTAGATGAGATTCTGCTTCTCATAGGAGAGGAACGTGCATCAAGAAGGGGCCCGTGGGAAGTGCCATCAAGACTGAGCCGGGGGCATCCTCCCCATCTTCTCCTCTCCCTCGCTGCTCTGACTGTCTCCTGAGGACCCCAAGACAGGCAGTGGCTGGGGCAATGGCTCTGCAGCCTGGAAATTTTTACCTGTGGAGAACAAGGGTACTGAGGACAGAAGTTGCTGCACGCCCTCGGCAGCCTGGAGCTCCTGGTGCCACAGTTGCCTGTACGCCCTCTCCTGGCCAAGTGTGGGAACAGGCAGAGCACTCCATCTACCTGCATCTTCTTCTGCTAGATGAGTCTCCTTGATCGTGCAGTAGTCATCCAAGTTCTCATAGGGTTGGAGCTCTGGGACAGAGGAAGGAAGCGGGAAACAGGACAGAAACAACCTGAGGGACCCAGGACCCAGTCATGAAAGGAGGAGACCCAAGCAGACAGCAGCATTGGGGGCTGCAGGGCACCCTGGGGTACACACAGAAGGGCAGCAGAGCTGGACAGAGGCCAGGTCTGCCTCAGGCAGGGTGAGCATAAGGGGTGGTTCCCAGCCCTCACTGGTACCACGGGAAGACTTCAGCCAGGAGCTGCTGGAAGAGGCAGTGGGAAGAGCTTCTTGGCTGGGGACAGCAGGTGAGGGACAAGCTGCCTGCAGCCACCCCAGGACAGCAAAGGATACGCAGATGTTCCTCCTGAGGACAGGTTCTCCCAGCACACACCTACTCCCTACCCTGCTGCCACCCCAGCCCTACAGCCACCTGTGTTATGGGGGCTCTACCTGTGTAATGGTCCTCCTCAGTTTTGCTGGGCAAGGCCTTCCTTTTCCTGGGAAGACAAAGTCCTGAGTTAGGGGAGAGGCTGAGGTGGCCCACGGCTTTGCAGAACTCAGCAACAGAGGCATGGAGGGCTCTGCAGATCCTCCCCCTTGTCACCCTGGATGTGGTAGGCATTGCCCATCAGCATTCCAGGAGTCAGCAGCAGGGGCTGCAATGATGGATGACATCGCTTAGCAAATGAAGTTCCTGCCCCAGCCATGAGACAGATATTCAGGAGCCTCAGTCAGGAACCTGACACCAAACTATAGTAGGACCTCTCAGCTGCATCCTCAGCACCTAGAGAAGGATGGGAGCAGCAGGAGGCCCCCCTCTCCATCCCTAGTCACCCCATAGCACAGCACTGCCTGAGGCAGAGCAGCGGTCTCCTCACCTGGACAGCACAAACCAGAGGATCCCTGCAGACAGGAACACCAACACTGACAGCACCACCACCACCGTGACCGCTGTCCCTGGCCAGGGGCCCAGAGGCTGTCCTGCAACTAACACAGAGCCAGGAGTGGGTACCACAGCCTGCACCATGCACAACCTCAGCCAGGACCAGGGCAAACAGCCATTACCCGAGACGTAGCTTTGAAACTCCAGCCGGGATGCAGCCCCAGCACCAGCCACCGTCAGGCCCTGCACCATCACTGTGTATTTGCTTCCAGGTGTCTGATGAACTGGCATGTACTCAGTCACGGACTGGTTCACCACCATCTGCTTGAATTCAAGGAAGCCATCATGCGTTCTCCTAGTCGTGATGTTCAGCTGGAGGAAGGACAGGTAGCTGGTGAGGAGGAGCACCCACCTCCAGTGGATCCACCTCCACCTCCTGCTCAGAGCAGCTGTGAAGGGAGGAGCTGCTGCTGGTGGCTGGGGACAAGAGAGGACCTGATCCCAGCAGAAACACCAACAGTGTAGAGCTGCTGGGCCCTGGCCGAAGAGGGCTCATGCTGCTCCCCAGGCTGCCTGCACAGAGCTCCTGGCACAGAGAAGCCTGGCAAGGGGAGGGGCACTGCAGGGAATCTGTGGTCCCCTGGTACCTGGTATCCAATGATCTCCCCTTTGCAGGATGGCAGTGCCTTCCACCTGAGGGACCCCGTGTTGGGATCCAGCCACAGCTTCTCCACTTTGTCCGGCACTGGAAGCACAAGAGGATGGGGTCATGCATGGGGCTGGCGAGGAGAGGTTGAGCCCAGAGCTGCAAAGGGACCCCCAAGCAGGGTTTGTCCCCCACAGAGGCTCATGTGCTGCAGCAACAGCAATGGTGTGGTGAGGAGGTGGAGGGGCCCTGCACAGCCCCTTTCCCCAGAGCCCCACAGGATCCCAACAGCCCTGATCCCAGGAACATCACTGCAGGGAGTGGATGCTCAGGATGAGCTGCTGGGAGAAGGGCACCTTTACATGTCATGTACGTGGACAAGTACCCGTTTCCTTTGTCGTGAATTGTCGCGTGAACAGGATCGTGCTGGGGAGCTGGGAGATGGTGACACTGTAGACAGTGTAGGGCTGCAGAGGTGGACAGCTAAATGTTCCCTCCTGGCCTTGTAGCATCTCCTCTCCCATCACCTCCTCAGCCTTACAGGGAGGGGATGAATGTGCTTCCAGACGGCACCTGGCCCGAATGTGAGTGCAGCCATCAGGGAGCCTGCAGGTCCAGTTCAGTTTGATGCTGGTGCTGGAAATCTCCAAGGTCTCAGAGACAACCTGGAGGATGTCTGTGAAGGAAACATTGCAAAGAGCCTTCCCTTCCCTCCCAGCCTCCCAGCAGAGCTGTGTCATCTCCATCATTCCCTCCATAGCCTGTCCCCAGCACAGTGTGCATGAGGCCATCCTGCCTTCTCCTGGACTATACTCAGGCTTTGCCTGCACCTTCTTCTGGCCCTGAACCGTTCCCAGGGGTACTCTGGGTGCTGCTGTGACTGTGGGAGCGTAAGGGCAAGCACTTGGGGTCTCTCCTTCTGACACCACGGAGCAACTGATCTGATGACTTGTCCCTCTCTCACCAGAAATTATTTAGCCAACAAACCCAGCAGCCAGAGCAGGGCCTTGCCCTCCTGCTCCTGGACTCTCATGCTGGTCTGGGTACACAGCCTGGGCCTGATGGACAGTGGCTTGGGGACCACCCCGAGCACAGCACAGTGGCACTGTGGGACTCTCCAGTACTTGGGGGAGCACTGGGGAGAGTGGCTGGTTTGCTCACTTACCCACACAAGTCAAGTTCTCTTCCATACGGTGCCAGCGGCCTGCACTGTTTCTCACAAACCAGCTGCTCCGAGGAATCAGGGAGCCTTCCCTGGGGCTCAGTTTCATGCACTTGATCTCTGTGGGAGGTGGCCAGTGCCCCTCTGGGCATCTCATCTTCACTACTTCATTGGGGTTGAAAGTCCCCCGGTCTGAGTCAATAATAAACCCACGGTTCCTCTGTGGCCTCTGGCATTTCTCTGCACCAACAAGATAGGTAGGTATTAGCAGAGAAGAGGGTGGTTCCACAGGGCCTGCAAGGGGATGGAGCCACTGCCCTCTCACAGCAGGGTGAAGGATGGAGCTGAAGGACACGACACAGAGTAGAGCAGCCCTCCCTGGCAAGGGTATGAGGGCAAGAAGGGCCTCCTGTTTCTTCTCCTAGGCCTTCCAAGATAGGCCAGGAGGAGTCAGAGCTTCAGGGACTCAGGGCACCCATAAGGGACTCTTATCATGCACAAAGCTTGCACACAGACTGATGGACTCTGTGAGGACCACAACACCCTGAGGCCTTCTGAGGAGACAGTAAAGCCTGAGCCCAAAACCAATGCCTCAGGTGACAACATGCAGTAGGGAACAGGCACTTCCCCTGCCTTGTGGCCTGTGGCCACGTCTACCATACATGTCTGCCTGCTCTCCAGTACTGCAGCCCCCTTCTCCTGGACACATGCTCTTGCCGGAAGTCCTCAGGGAGCCCCATGGCACTCACTCACCTGTGCCAGGACCCTCCACCCCCCATGAATAGCAGACTGGAGCACTGCACGCCCAGCGCTCTGCCCTGGCCTGGCATGGGCAGTTCCAGACACTGTCCCCAGCCCTGACGCCACAGTCCCCTCCTGCAAGGACCCTCAGGGACTGAGGCTGACACCAGATCCCTCCTTGCAGAGGCTCCCCTGGAGCCCCAGGCCAAGCACAGGGCAGGATAAGGAGTTGCCTCAACGCTGCCTTCAGCAGCACCTACCACGTCCTCAGGCAGGCAGAGAGCCCAAAACCTCCTGTGCACACAGAGCCTGGCCTCCCCTGCTCAGGAAGGGCAGAGCAGGGCAGCCAGAAGACCTCCTCATGCCTCCCTTACCTATGCACACCACGCTGGACTGAATGCGGATCCAGCCACCTCTGGTGTCCTTTCCATTCCAAGCTTCTGAGTATAATGGTTTGCTATTGCTGATGGACAGGACTTTTCCCGCACATTTGACATGAGTGAAGGACAAATGAAGATTGTCAGGGCAGCTTAGCATCACTTCTTCGTTCTTCTTGTAATTCTCCAGGTCTGGTTCCAGCTGGAGCCTTGGGTCCCACTGGGGCCTTTGGCACGTTTCTGGTAGAGGTGATAGTGGGTGTTAGTTGGGGTCGGAGACATTAAGGAGGTGCAACAGGGGTAAGTGGTGGGGTATCAGTAATCCTAAGCAAACCCTACAGCTACTGAAAGGAGAGGGAAGGTGACACATCCATCTTCCAGGATGTGACCCTTCTGCAACGCTTGTCGGGAGGGGCCTCTCCCTGTGGGTGAGTGTCAGCTGGGGCTGGGGTCTCCCCAGGCAAAGGATGGATGAGGCTGTGCCAGAATTCACTGTGGGATTATTCTCAGGTACCAAAACCAGGGAGGTCTGAGTAGCCCAATTCAGGCATCAGCCGTGCATCCCAGGCCACAGTAGTGATGGTGTAAGCTCAGAGATGGATCAATAGGGCAGAATTTGACCACGGTGCTGCATAAGAGGCACCTCCTGATGCCCTGCTTACCAATGCACACTATGTTCCCCTCAATATGGATCCAGGCACCACTGCCTTTCCTCCCCAGCCACACATCTCTGTTTGAAGATCCAGAATTATTCAATGGCTGAGCTCCTGCTGCACATCTGGCATGGGTGAACGATGGTTGGAAACCATTGCTGCAGCTCAGCATCACTTCTTCATTCTTTCTGTAATTCTCACGGACTGGTGACATCTGGAGTCTTGGGTCCCACCAAACAGACCTTTGGCATGTTTCTGTCAGAGGCAAAATCGGTAGAAGTGTATTTTAGGGAGGTGACAAGAGGAGGCTTGGAACAGCTCTCCCCACCCCATGACTCTGACCATTCACCCTGACATACACAGGAGTCCCTCTACTCCTACCGTGTGCCCAGGCACTGTTCAGGGGCACAGGGCTTATTATCACCCCTATCTCCAGGACTCTAAAACCTCAAGCCTGGGTTCCATCCATGCACGGGGTGGTTCAGTCCCCATTCTTTTGGACCCCTTCATGCCCAGCTGAGCATTGCAGCAGTGACAGCCTCCCCCACCAGAGCTCATCCAAACTCCAGAGAAACTTCCCAGGAAAACATTGAATTCTCAAGCAGTGCAAAGTGTCAAAGCTTCATCCAAAATGAGCTTGCCTTGTCCTGCTCTGGTAGGCATGTCACCCAGACTTGCAAATCAAAGTGGTGAGGAGGCATCGGGGTAGGTGTCCTCTCCCAGAAGAGGATGAAACATCCCTCTTCAGCTACATGCATCTCTACAGCTGCCCACTTCCTGCCAGTCAGCACTCATGGGACTACGCTGGCTTACACTGGAACAGGGGCAGCACCACACTTCCCTTATCTGGCAGGAGGTTTTCACGCCATCCTCTCAACCCTGCACCCCGGCCCTCCACTGCAGAGGACGGTGGCCACCATCCTTTGAAACTTCTTCTCCCACAGCTGTATCCCTTCCAGTGCCCACAGATCACACACTTCACTGCAACAGCCAAAATCTTTGACAGAGCTAAAACACTTGACTAGATCCATGCCTAGTTAGGCATCCCCAGCACACATCTTCCCCCCTGCCATCATTAAATCCCTCTGAAACAGTGCACACACCCTCACACTCCTCCCCCAGGGTGACATCCAGGATCCTTCCCACCCCAGCAGAGTCTGGGCTACCTGCCCAGCACCAAGGGACGAAGGGTGTTGGACCAAGGACACCAGCCAGGGAGGGGGAAATCCTTCTGCTGTGGGAGAACGAACCAAGCTTCAAAGAGCAGATTTCCACCTGTGGGACGAATGTTTTTTTCCCTCTTGGTACTTGTCAGAAAACAGGTCCCCAAGGCTGACTGTCCCTGAGATGCTCTACAATCTAAAAGGCTAAGCAGAAACACCCTTACACAGAAGCAGGGTGGGGGATGCACTAAGAGCACAGCCTGGCTCAGTCAGGAGGCTGATGATGACCTGCAGTGCAAGAGGACACAGTGACAAGCAGATTGCACTCCTAAGGAAGTAGAAATCCACAAGAAACAGCTGGAAAGGCCGAAGTACAAGTGGTGGAGTACCAAGTGCGAGCAATGGGAGCACAAGGCTGTCTCATGCAGCCTCCAATGGGGAGAGGAAGGTGAGCAAAATTGGGTCAGAGGCACTGTCAGCAGCACAGTAATGCAAGCCTTGTTCTCTAGAAAATGCATGTGGGTCATTGATGGCTATCTCTGAACAGCAAGGGCATGGAGAGAAAGTGAAGAGAGCACACGTCTATGGCAGACGTGACTCCTTGATGACACTCAAAAAGCAGCAGCTGCAGCAGAAGCCCTTTTGGCAGCTTGGCTTGGCACCAGGGCTTTCCTTTTGGTGCAGCTGGAGGCAAGATCTGCCCCTGCCTGCAGCTCTGCTGGGCCACCCATAATCCAGACACCAGTGGCCTCCTTTGGTGCTGCAGATGTCGGTGACATGGTAGAGGACAACGGCCAGAACCTCAGATTGGTGCCCCACACCTCTTCTGCAGACACAGATTTCCCCCAGCCACTCAGAGCCAATGTTTCTACCAAGCCCACCACAGTCTCCCGCAGCTGGGGCTCCTCAGGCCAAGGAGAAAAGAGGTATGACTACCAAGGGGCTTGTCAAGGATGGGCTGTGGGGAACAGGAGGAAGGGACAGGAGCTGCTGCTGAGTCAAGGGGAACAGGCACAATCCTGCCCTGGACAGCTGAGGGCTGCCCATTGCTGGAAGGGCAGCATCCCTCCAGCCACCAGCAATGGGTAACATGACTCAAGGCCCACCAGACGACTTGGCAAGCCACTTCAGTTTCCACTTCCCTGCAGAGAGAATGACTCACGCCTCAGGCCCCCTAGTCCCTGGTGCAAAGAGCAGCCTCTCCTGCTGTGCCCCATGGGTACCTCAACAGGTAGCAGCCTAGTCCTCCTGGCATGGAGAAAGAGCAGAACAACGTTGTTAAGGAACAATCCCACTGAACTGCACCTCCCCAAGCCCCAAGGACTGTGAGAGAGAGCTAACGCAGTGATTCCTCTCACAGCTCCCCATGTCTTTGCTGAGCAGCACCGCTGCCCTCACCTGCTGCCCAATTGCCCCACATAGGCTACCGCTGCCCTGATTGCTCTGGCTTCATCTGACCACCATACAACAAGAACCAGCCACCTCCTTCTCACAGGGACACTGCCCATTCCCCAGAGGGACACTGCAGCTCCCGTGCTCGTGAAGGTGTTCCCAGCACACCAAGGCTTGCTCCCCTCCATCCCCAAACACAGCTTCACCCCACCACAACTCAACAGATGCCCAAATGTCTCAGGACTGATGCAGACACCAGCTTCAGCCCTCCCCAGCACAGCCAAATGTGGTATAGCTGCATAGCAAATGTGCAGGGAGAGGAGCAGCAAAACCTTTTCTGTAAGAGACAGGCACAATCCACTCTTACCTGCTTCCATGGCTTGCCCCTGGTTCCTGGGATCTGGGTCCTTCTGTCTCCATGCAAGCAACGGAGGGGCAAGGACCAGGAGAAAGGCCAGAGCCAGCTCTCGCAGGGCCATGCTGGCACCAAGACTCCGGGCAGGACACAGTCTGAGCCGCTCAAGAAAGGTATCTTTGCAACCCAGTGCAGGAGGGATGCAGATACAGAATTGAAACAGCCACACAGGGAAATTGCATGCAGTGCAAAAAAGCTTCCTCTTTGTAAAAAGAGAGTGTCCCACCAACCACAGGGCTGCTCCTCACCCAGCTGCCTGCAGGCAATGGGTCCGGGCTCAATGGGGTCTCCTGGGTGCCTTGGTCCAGCATTTTTGCTGTCTGCCATAGGCCCCTGTAGCCCTGCTCCCACAGACACACCCAAAACATTCTTGAGTCTGCCTCACTCCTCTCTCCCTCCAGATCCAGTAGTGGATGTTGAGGAAAACACCCCTGGTTCACCTGCCCAAGCCCACCCTAGGGTGCTCTCACCGTGCATCACTTTTGCCTTGATATGTCTACTTCTTACCTTGAACTGACCTAGCTACAACAATCCTGCTGTTGAACCCCATCAATAGATCAACCAGAACTGACAAGATCCTGAACCAGACAGGTGTGGGGTTTTTTTCCCATCTCCAAACCTTTCCTGCTACCCTGCTCTGAGCTTGACTTTCTCAGTGTTTTCTAGGATGTGAAGTGCCTTGATATGGACAGTGCACACCATACTGGGAGTAAGAGGATCTTCCTGGAGCTGGATGGAGAAGACTTATTCCTGTCTCTGGATGCATCAAGCAGGATCTTTGGGTATGGGAGGAATTCGCTGGGTGCTCCTCATTTTGGGCCATAACCCCAGAGCTTGAGTGTCAGGAGGAAGGAGCCAGACTTTCCTGTGATGTCCAATGACAGGACAAGGGACAATGAGTGCAAGATGGAGTACAGGAGGTTCAACCTGAACATAAGGAAAAACTTTTTTACTGTAAGCGTTACAGAGCACTGGACCAGGCTGCCCAGAAAGGTTGTGGAGTCTCCTTCTCTGGACACATTCAAAACCCGCCTGGACCTGTTCCTGTGTGACCTGGTCTAAGCAATCCTGCTCTGGCAGTGGGGTTGGACTGGGTAATCTTCTGAGGTCTCTTCCAACTCCTAATATTCTGTGATTCTGTGATTAATACTCCTACAGTCTCCTGTCCCTGAAGACACCACCACAAAGCTTTTTCATCCATCCAGCTGGAACCACCATCCTTAGCACCACAGCACAGTGCTTATTTCATCTATCTGCATAGCCTCAGTAGAGCAGCAACACCAAGGGGTTTCTGGAAGACAGTTATCTCCTAAGAGATCCATTAAGAAGTATCAGTACATCAAGTCCAGCTGTCCCACATACAGCTGTTAATGGGGTAAAGTCTTCTAGCATGCTTGCAGCAAGAGAAACAGCAGCACTAAGTCACATTATCCCTGTTTCCTCAGAAGTTCCCTGGGCTTTGGGAACCAGGCTTTTTGTGTCCCTATGCAGCCAACAAGGGTGCAGTCACCCAGAAGAATGGCCAAAGCCAGCACTCAATGAGAACTGTTGTCATAAAGTTCCAGCATTAGATGTAGACACTCTCACTGCCTCTCTTTCCCATACAAAAGTAGCAAAAAACAGTTAAAGAAAACAGCCGAACTCCAAAAACGCACATGGTGCAAAAGGCTTGCTATTGCAGCTGATGTGAGTATTTCTTTACTTTTCCCCTACCTTGAAATTCAATGGGGCCTACAATCTGTGTGGCCCCTACAATTCTCTTTCTCCTTAGAAATTCATCAGGTTTTGAGATTTGTTGTCTTAGTGAATGCATGCACTAGAAAAATGCTGAAGAAATACTGAAAACTGCAACACTCAGTCAAATGCCCAGCTCTTACATAGTCTAACTTGAGAGCTGCTAGTTCAACCGATGATAGCTTACTTCACTGGGAACCACACAGCAGAGTTCAAATGAAAGGAGTTTTCCAAGGGACTGCCAAGTCACACAGCAGCTCATGAATCCAAACTCAGATCAATGGGAGCTGATGAGGTCCAGCTCCATGAGAACTCTCACCGAGCTCCCAAAAGCACATTACCTGTGGGCTGCACATACTCTACGTACACCGCTGTAGCCCTTGCAGCAGTACTAAGTCTCACAGAGTCATTTCAAGACATTTTAGATGCATCCTGCTACAGTATGCAGCGGATGTGTACATTTTTGACCATAATAAAGCCAGCCAGCCACATACCTTCTTCTCAGTCAGGCTGAGGCCTCAAGACAGTTCATTTAACCATCATAAACCTGATTGATGTGATGTTTCCTCAAGGTTCAGTTCGATTGAACTAACAGGACTTAGACATTCGGACTGAAGAGAGAAAAAGCCAAATCAATTGCAATTCATAGCCAGTTTTACTTCTGACGGTGAAGAACATTGAGGTCTCAAAAACATCCACAAAACCACAAGGAAAGGAGAAGTAGCTGTGGCTTATGAGGATCAGGCTTTGTGGAAAGCACTGCTAGCTTATCCGCCACATTTCCCTTCAGTAAAGTCTATTCTCTTGTCAGACCTCACAAAAAAACAGAAATAAATCTGAGGCTTATCTCCATCCCTACCCCATACCTGTCCTTCAGGGTGTGGGGCATACCTATAAATCATCAGACATGGCCATGGTGGTGGGGGTGGGCTGAGACCGGGCTGGGATGTCATCCCACAGGCGGGGGGTCAGGATCAGGCCTGGGGAGGGTAACCCAGTCAGATCCACCCTGGAACGGCCAGGGAGGAGTCTGCTCCCTGCACAGCACCAGTGTGTGACCTCATGTGATCTGGGGGGCTGGCTCCCCACGTGCTGCTGCTTCCTCTCCAGGATGCAGCATCAGCCTCAGTAGGGGCTGCAGCTGGCACTGCTGGAGCCCAGAGACTCTTCTGACACGGAGACGCCCACCAGATCATGGCTGGAGCCCAGCCT